TTTCAATTCCAGTCGGGTTCGTTACACGTAAACACCCTTGGGAAAGGCATGAAACTACCTATTCTCCCCCCTATGTGAGCTATCTGCTAATTAGTTAGACTGATCAGTAAATCATTATTATTTATAAAATTCTTACAATCTAAAAATATTTTATGGCTTTAAATGACGTAGAGAAACTTTGGCAAAGACAAATCAATTAAAAAAGTGTTACAGAATGAAAAATATTTAAAATTGAAAGATTTCTTATAAATACACTGAAGTGTTTGGACTAGACTAAATGTCCATGACTTCCTTTTGCATGTTTATCTCTTTTCTTGAATGGACTGATTCATCAGTCCATTATGTCAAATTAAATTAAAATTTGCAATCCTTATAAAAAGTAGTCTAAAATATATACAAACAAAATATATACAAACAAAAGATATAAAAATATATGATATCTCTTCATTTATTCTATTGTTTTTCTTATTGATTTAGTGTTCACTGCTCATGCATCGCACACATTTCAATTCGTGTTTAATCATTTGCTTGCAGAGCAGATTCATCGGAAATCTCTGTGCTTTATAACATAGATATCATTCACGAGTTGTGTATCGATCTATTCTTCAAATATTATCGAATCAAGACAATCAAATCGGTACCGCTTTTCTGCGTTTATGTCTTTCCTTATAAAGCTGTGATATCTTATGCCATATGCTCATTTACATTGACGATCACAAAGTTTAAAATTTAAAATAATCTTTATGTTATATAACAACATGAATATAACGAATTCACGATGTGATTGTTGGTTGTAACAAATGAAATGAGAAAAAGTGTCTGATTGAGGATAGATAAAATTCCTTATATTTATGCCTTTTAATTTTATAGCATTTTCAATTTATTTTTTAAACAATTTTATTTGATAGAAAATATTTTATAAGCAAATGAATTGTTTCGAAAAGATTCGTCGACATTGAAAAAACTGGAATGATGATAGATATTATAAACCATGCTGTTGTAACAGAAAATTTATACAATATAAAGATAGCAAACATTAATTTAACAACAACAACGGCAATAATAATAATAATAATAATAATAATAATAATAATAATAATAATAATAATAATGCCATAGAGCTACACCAGGTATTCTTATGGTTTCTGATCTTAATTTATTGGAAATATGTTGTCTTGTTGAAATAAATAGGACTACAATAAATATCTCTATTTACACTATTTACATTCGAACTATTGCCCTCGCCTTTCTTATTGTTATCACAACATTTCGGTTGTTGTGCACTCAGGAATTCATCAGGTGTATATTGATCTGGGTAACCTAGAGGGAATTCTGAATTGAGCCCTTTATTTAGTCTACGAAGGTAGATTCTTCCACTGCCCATGTTACAGCAACAAATATGGAGTCAATAGTCCAAATGAAAAATAGAGAAAATAATAACTCCTCATCCCAGAAATTCAGACCGAAATAAATATCTTATTCAGTTACACAGTGGGGCATGTTCAATTTGGGGCAGACGCATTGTGCATGTCTCTTCATGAAAAATAAAAAAAAATAATAATGAAATTATTTATGGAATATGGGATTGATTTTTAAAAAATGTAGATGTCCATATTTATTCATATTTCGCTGTTAACAGTCCAAATAATGTAAATTATTTGGACTGTTATGCCCATCTTCATTGTCATATTAACAACGTTTCGGCCGTTGTACACTGCGGCCTTCTTCAGGTGATTGGAATTTCGAACCGAACCCTTTATTTCTTCCACCGTGGTAGATTGTTTTAGTTTCACGTGTCATGCCTCTTCCTGATATCTCACTTATTCCCTTTAACGCCAAGTTTTGGTTCACCACTCCTGTAGTGTAGTATTGAACTCAAAACACTTTTGGGTCTAGTCACTGGATCTAACCAACGACAACAGTGGTGAACCAAACTTTGGAGTGTTGATTTAAAAGGAAATAACTGAGACATCCTAACCGAGACATGGCATGTGGAACTAGAACAATCTGACCCGGTGGACGAAATAAAGGGTTCGGCGAAATTCCAATCACCTGAAAACATTGTGAATATTAGCAATGAAGATGAGGATAACAGTCCGAATAATCTAAATAATGTTAATCATAACAAATCATCTAAGAGATATAGACAGATATTGTCGCTGTTTATTGCATAATGTAAAACTATTATCTCTCATGATGTTTTTAACAACCATACCTATAATTAATAATATGTGTAGGTATCAATACGGTTATCGGCACGGGAATTGAAATTGGCCAGGCGAGTTCAAAGGCTGTTCTAATCGGTTGCGTTTTCTTCGAATTGATGCACTTGGGAATTGAATGAAACACTTTTTCTTCCTCCACCTATGGGTTAAATAGTAGTGTAAATTGAGTGCACTAGCATTATGGAACAAGCAGTCTATGAGAAATTAAAATGTTAGAGAAGGCAATGTAAACCCACAGCAATATATTTTCCAATAATTCGCACATGATAAAGAGAATGAATCTGTTAATATAGACGACGCCCTTAAGGGACGTCATAAAAAGATCCTCTCAAAGATCCTTATGAAAAAAGCGGAAGAATTGGAAATTTGAGAATGAACTGAAACCAAACATAGAAGAGAATAACTAAAGATATAGATATATGAAAGAGAACTGACTTATTGAAAAAAAAAAACACGCTGTCACCTGATCTCCAGTGAAATGTTAAAACTCAGTCAGTATGTAAATAGCATGGCTAATGATAATCTAGAGGAAAAAAACTTATTGTACATTTTGGAGCTAACATTTTCCATTTCAGTCACTTTCTCACAGCCGTAACGTAGCTTACTTGTGCCTTTTCTATCCATGATTTCACGGTAATTTTTCTGATGAGCTTACCTGTTTGGTGCCTCGACTTTATGAATTTAAGCGCAGTACTAGGTTGGCAGCTAGGTCTCATCATTTTATAGCTGAAATTGATAGATGTAGCCATAAGTCCTATGCTAACAGTTTCTTCTCTCGCACTTTTATTGCTTGTGAAATTCTCTTCCAGTTTCTTGCTTTCCAGTCATATTTGATTTAAATGCAATATAAATTGTTATCTTGTTTTTTTTTCTTAATTTCAATTATTTTATTGTTCTCTCTCCATAATAATGTTTTAATTTTCTTACAGTCAGTACCTCCCAACCTACGTCTTAGTGGCATTATTACCTTGAATGAGGTGAAATGATCAAGAACTTATTACTATGAAAACCTCTTCATTCAGGTAAAATGAAATATCTTCGTTCATGTGAATGAATAGGAAACGTAAAAAAACTTCAAATCTCTTGAAAATACCAATTGTAATTAAATTTTCAATATTCTTTTCAGTTTCTTTTATATAGGATGAATCCAAACAATGCGTATAAGAACTTGTTATACATTGCTTAGAGCAGTGATTTTGCAAGCCATTGTCATTGAGCTCTATCTCTGGCGTGACTTCGAATAACTTTGGTCTCGTTTCAGATGTGATCTCGTCAAACAAACATGTTGAACACTAGTTTTAACCACTTATATAAAACTAAATATAATGATTTCTTGTTCTAATCACTAAACGAGTTTATTGCATTTAGTTCAACCCCAAAAATATATATTGCTAAGAAGAAACTAGGTGATACAAAAAGAAAAGAAATTACACAAGACCGTATCCATGGGGCATACATTAAAGAATTAAGTCACTACAATTGGTTTTCAAGAAAGCGCACCATGGCAGGTGAAAAACATTAATTCAATTTTGCCTGTCGAGTAATTTTGGAATTATTCTTTACTTGTAGAATTGCAAAACTAATTAGTTAACTGAAAAAGTCAGCGCGAACAACCAGGAGAGATTTCAGAATTCTAATTTAATCTTGCATGTGTTGCAGAATCAGTTAAATCTTGTTCAAGGAAGCATTTGTAGAGAGCAAAAGGTTCACTTCAATAGAAATCTTAGGTAAGGATAGATCCATAAATATTAGCTTGTCCCGAAAGTAATTATGTTTTACTAGAAAATACATAAAAACAAATATTAATTAAATTCATTTAATATTATTTATAAAAAAATTAACCAGCTTCATTTTCAAGACTGCAGCCCAACACGAAGGCAGATTTTCGTTTTCATGTTCAAAGGAAATTTGAAAGACTGTTTTCAATTTCTTCCTTACTGAATGTTATGCCATTTATGAAAGGAAAATCCCTGCGAATCAAATATGTTGAATATATCGAAGAACGTTCCAAACCAAAGATCTTTTCTTGGCAATAAACGTCTACAGTGATGGTCCCTCTATGTTGAAGTAGCTCGTAATGGAAGACACGTTTCATATTCCACGGGATAAAGAGAAGGACTTCCGTGGATAGAATCCTGGCGTTGGCGTTGGCACTATTTTCTCTTTTTGAGATAAACACATTTTATGTTTTCCGTTGACATGAAAAAAAAACCCATTTTCATCACCTGTAACAATGTGGTGTAAAAATGAAAGGTTGGCATTCTTGGCAAAAAGGCCGATATAGACGGTGAAACTGTTTTCGGGTCTTTTCTATCACACTTGAAATGTTTGTCGACAGTTGAATATGATACATGATGTTTTTCTGTTTGTGTTGGACGTGGATCTAATTCAATAGACGCTTTTAAAAATTCTTCCTTCAGAGTGGGTCTTCTACCAGAAGATGTCTTGTCAAATATGTAACAATTACTATTTTTAAAACTTGTAAAACATAGCAGATATATACGAGTCTTCACTACCCCCGCGTACACTGGATACACGTTTTACATGCCCCCATAGCTGTAATGCCTTTTCAGAATGTATTTAGTAGGCAATGAGGATGATGTTGCTTATTAAAGATATATACCTCATTGAGATTTAACACTGAAATGCACTATAAACGGCGATGTGGTATAGAATTCTAGGTGCAGTTTCTTATTCAGTCATCGTTCTGCCATGGTTGGGGGAGTCAGTATTTATAATGGTGAAATACGTAATTAATTTCCGAACGATCATATACTAATGGGGAGAGAAAGAGAGAGAGAGAGAGAGAGAGAGAGAGAGAGAGAGAGAGAGAGAGATTGATGTAGGAAAACAGAAAGACAAATGAGGGGGCAACGTAAAGTATATCACACATTTTGCTATGCTCAACTCTTATACATGTAACCAGAGATGAACAGAATCTTTTGTATGCTCAAATTTTATAAACACAAAAACCAAGAATTATTTCTGTGACTAAATTTTCTTGCATTTTATTAAAATGCAACACCAGCGAATTCGTCATCTCATCAAACACAAGTTTTATATTTGTTTTATATTTTGTATTTTTATATTTGCCGATATTTGTTTTTCCGCTCTTTGATATGAAACTGAAAAAGAAAACGAAATTAAAATTCTGAAATAAAAATATTCTTGTTTACTTTGAAAGCATCAACCAAGCTGCATAATAACGCAGTGTAATACAAATATCTAATGTCCGACAGATTTCTTTTCATACACTGAAACATGTAAAATATGTGTCATGTTAGCTGTGAGATATTGATATATTATTGTATTTGTCAAAATTCATTGAGATTACAAATACTTCAAGGAAAATATCTGAATTTTGAGTTAAATTCATTTTCACTACATCATAAACATATGTTTGCATGTAAATCGAAGCCCAATCTTAGAGAAACAAAATTTTAAAATAAAAGATTTGCAATTTTACATATCTCATCAAGATAAAAATTGCAATAAATATTTATGCTAAATTCACCTAATACAAGGCTTACGAGTCACTCATGGTAGAAGGATGTTGTTAAAAGGGTTATGATAAATGAGATATGGGGAAATGAAGGAAAGAGAATGTGGTAATAAGTGAAGATTATGAGGATAAGAATGATAAATAACGACTAACCCTCGATTTGAAGAGGCTCAGCGAATCATCCACGTGGAAGTTTCTCCTATAAAGTAGCAGTGAAAAAAGCTGTTTGAGTGGCGTTTGTTCCTTACATTTGGAATACGGAATAAATGTTGGAAATCCATGATGTGATGTCGGTGTAACGGATTGAACCGGTTAGAACAAAGACTGAAACTCATATGAACATTTGCCATGGCAATAGCGAAAGAGTAGCTTGCAACGATGCGAGTACAGGAAAGAGACTGCATAGTGGAGAATAAGTCTTCCACACGTAAGATCGTGTAAGCAAATTTGAATATCAACGCTGGAAATATGAGTATGAGGCAGCTCCAGCCCAGGTAGAGTAGTAATATTTTTGTGTCTAATTTAACTCTCGTACATATAAAACACACTAGAAGGAGACAGGTACATCTTGGAGTGATAGAAAGAGCCTATCACTCTTTTCAGTATCTGTTAAAACCTGAATTTGAGAGTGTACTTTATAAAATATTAATAATTGCTGAGCATACTGGCTTCTTTAATTCCTTTTAAACAACAGAGCGGTCACATAAAACAATTTCTCGGATAAATCTCCTGGGCGGACAATTTTGACACAGCACTGGGCACACCCATGTCTTCCGCAGATATCAAAAAATTGAAAAAATCACCAAACTGCATGACATCTTAAGAACTATACACATTTGAACATACGGTAGCGATACATATTGTCTGGATCATTGAAAAATTGCCCAAGAGTATTCTCTGATGAAAGTTTAATTTAGTTAGCTCTGATCTGTGTCAGTTAAAAAGGCTATGTTAACAGTGTAATTATATCCTCAAAAGATTTCTCATTGGTTGGTGTGGTGTGCACAGTTTCTTTTGTGTACAGTATAATATCGCCGAGCAGAATTATTTTGCGTTTCGCTTTTGTTTCTGGGCGACACACGATATCATTCTTTATGAAAACTTATTCAACCCGTTCAGAACAAGACAGTATCTTCTAAGATTCAAAGTAATATTCGACCTGACTCGACATTTTTGTTTTTTAAGATCTCATCCTTGTCTTCAATATGCCACATTGTTATCTGATAATCATCTATAGAATCCAAACGAAACATCCTGTCAGATACTATTGTCCTCGTGGATACTTACGCTTCCTCTTTAATACCTAAAATACGCCATTAAGAAATTTAGCTGGATAGCTCTGGGCCGACAACCAATCAAATCACAACAAATGTAAAGAGATGGAAGCATCAGCCACCAAAGTGTGAAATGTACTTCCCAATCTTCTATTTGTATAAACTTAAATATTTAAACAAAATAATCCAATCAGTGCTTATAGAATGAAACTGCTGGCTCATAAATTTCCTTTTTGCCTTCCTACTCCCGAATAGAAAACTTTTTCAATATAATTCTATTTATACACCGTTCGATCCAATTGACATAGTAACCTCAAAAGGTCGCAGTGGAATGGTTGCTTGTTCTCTGGTAATACATTACGTTTTCGACCTGAAATCAATTGCATTTCAAATCCAAGTAAAATATTGAATAGAACAATCTGTACGCAATCGCTTATTGATTTATCTTATTCTCTCATAAAATATATTGTCATTGACACCCACACTGCTACTACTAACTTCCAACACGAACCTCATTCTGCCAGATTCGTGGTAAGGATTTACAGAAGATACCACTGAGCTTGAAGCTGAAACCTGAAAGACTAGCCAGATAAGACTTACTCAGAATTAAAGAAACCATTGTCAGCTTCGTAGTCGGAATAAAATTATTTGAATATTAAATCCATTTTAAAACTTGGGATATAAAGTCCAGTTATGGAGTTTACTTTAGCGTATAAAGATTAAAAAAGGCGTTCTGATTTTGACTAAAGACAAAAGTTTTATTTTTTCAGAAATATTTTCTTTTAAAGACTTCTAATACCATATTTGAGAAAGTCGACACCAAACAGAATAATTTTTGAATTTGGCAAAGTAAAATTAAAGGAGGGATTTTGCTTGACTCGGATAATACAGCCTGGTTAATACCTAGATGGGTGACCCCTTGGGAATACAAGTTGCTGTAAGCTTGGAGGGGCAATTGGTATAATGGATAATGGCTTGGAATTGTTAATCGGGGAGCCGAGTTCAAATGTGTTCGTTATATTTACTTATGAACAAATACCATTAGGAAAGGTACGAATTCACCATTTCCCTCAGCTATGGGTTAATTAGTAATACTTGTACCAGTTAAACCGTATTATGATCAAAATTCTTTTAAAAATTATAAATATTTTCTGACTTTAAATAACCTGCAAAATAATGATAAGTCACAGAAATCAAATCAATCAAATAAAAAAAACGGAAAAAAACACTAATATTTTAATAACTTTCAACAAAGGTCGTCTAATTGAGTGCTGTAAAATAATTCTGATATTTATTGGTTGTAAGAGAGACTATTATACTAATATAATCTACAATCTGGAGTTTTGTTGCTGAGTGAAACATCTTGCAAAGAAGCATACAGATAAGTTTTTACGAGAATCTTACTGTCACATTTTCACGATAATGACGTAAAATTTAAGCCTAGTACCGTTTTATCTTATTTAACATTAAAAAAAGAAACAATATTTCTATTATTTAAGATGGAAACTATATCCACCCATCACAATAGAGGTTTGTATTTTGCATATAAAATAAAACCTATGCGTAAAAATAATAATTTGAAGTGTGTGAAATAAAGTGTTTGTACAAAGTAAAGTTTTTGCTTATAACGAATTAGATTCTGTTACAGTTATCGCCTTGATTTATTAATTTGCATTTATACCTTTCATTTTATTTCTTTTATTCTTGAGTTTATTGGCTTATTTCGGTGAATTTTATCCAATTATTCATTTTTCTCTCTTTATTTCTCAACGGGCGCATTAGTGCAACTTTTATCTTATAGGAAGGAAACAAGACAGTGAAAAATCAATCAAAGTGAGTTTACTGCAATGCAAAGTTATTCTTAGCATCACTAATCTATGTTTCTTATCTAAATTTCGTGTTTTGTATTAGGGTTAAATATTTCTTTACCGATATATCAAGAACGAAATCAACTCCTACCACCTCTGTAAACAAACTGGTAGAAGGAAGTGGGATTTCTTCAGTATTAAAACTGTCCTTAAGTTAGAAGAAAGATATTTTATGACGAAGAACTAGCACTGATCGAGTTAAAATAAAGGATAAATCTTTCACAGCAAGATATCAGTAACAAACTATATTTCAGACAAGGAACAAATGCAATGTCCTTTAATGAATTAAAATGAAATATTGTCGTAGTAACGGAGGTTTTATGGTGTTAATACAAGAACTCCTTATTTAAAGACTAACCTGTTTAATTACCCCAACTTACGACCAAATTCATAAAGAAAAAGAAAAAAACGGCTTTGTGTATCTTGTATAAAAAACATTGATCATGATTGATCTTAACTTTTTTCGGAATGAATCAAAATAAAATGAATAATTAAAGTGAAAAATAAATAAAGACTTACTTTTGCTTTTAAGCAAACCTAACTAATGTAGAGAATAGAGAGCTGGTTTTCGAATTTGTTTTGTACGTTAATGTACTGTATACACTTTTAGAAATAAATTAGAAATGCAACAAATGGGGTAAAATTAATATTAAAGCTAGCTGATGCTGTTTGGAACAAACTCATTACACACGTAGGATGCCTGAAGTAGCGTTCAAGTAGAACTTATCACTTATGTTGCGTTCTGTGTCGTCTCTGGATCTACACGTTACTACATAAAAAGATGTCAACGAAAATGACCATTTCTTTTTGTTATTCGTTTCATTAAGAATGGCAGCTTGGATTATAAGAAGCAGTAGGAGGAATTACGTCCCAGGAATGCATGTCGCACGTTGGCTCAGCGTCCTTCCGCGGGTGGTCTTAGCCAGTCGCTAAAGTGGGTGTGGGAAGCCTATCGATACTTCAGAATTCTTGAGACTCTATGTTAAATTCGCACCGTTTTGGACTTATATTCAAAACCCAGACAAATGCAATCCGTTACTGTCAGAATACCACGCTCACGAAACACTCCGGCCAATCGCTGACCATTCTGTTCCCGTCCTTCGATTTCTGCAAAACGCAGCTCGTTTAACGACAATAACGGAATCCAGTCGTTAAGTCAATAGTGGCTGTATTCTGAATATTAATTCATATTTTGAATGTAAAGTAATTCATTAACACAAGCATATTAAAATATCATACTTTTAAATTCTGTATGACTAACGTGG